TAGCCTGTCGCTGGCAAGCCCGATAGGTTCCCCTTCCCCACTTCACATCTAGTTTAAAGCCCTGTCAGTGAGTGCTGCAAGCTCCTGGGCAAGGACCCTCTTTCCCCTTTGAGAAAGCTGGCTCCCATTTGACGCCAGCAAGCCTGGTGCCATGTAGGCCATCCCATGGTCAAAGAATCCGAGGTTATGGTGGCAACAGGAGTCACGGAGCTGCATGTTAATAGACTGAGTTCGCCTGTATTGCCCAGTGTCTCTGCCCACCACTGGAAGGAGCGAGGAAATATGACATAGGTAGGCAGAGCAGAAGAGAAGCTTACAGACGATGGCTTTTTAAAAAGCCATGTACTATTGTTGTGGTTTTATTGTCTTGTTTTCCACCAGTTTCACAGACCGCATTTTTGCAGTTTATAAAAAACAGTCATTTTAAATTAGGTAAAATCTATATGTTGGTTATAGCCTCATCTCTAATGCTTACATGAGTTCCTCATGAGTGTTGATCTTTAGCACTTTTAACAGTGAGAAGTATACTTTCTGATTTATAGGTAGAAGCACTCAGAAAACAGACCTTCAAAGTTGCCAGCACCCTACAGCAGATTGAGAAGCCAAATATCTGCACTTCCATTCCCACCATCTAAGACCAGTCTTTTCCTAGAAGTGCTTACAGTGTAATATGCCACAATCACACAACCCTATATTCAAATTACTTTCAACTGTTTGTTTTTTGTTTTTTTTTTTTTAAATGAGTTTTCACTGAGTTATTTTTCCTCAGCAAGTGAGGCTAGAAAAGTTAAAGATACCATCTGTGGTTATATTTATAATTACCATGTATCCTAACGTTTGGACTAGAGACATTTCTGCCTGCTTACCCACGCTTCTTATGTTCCATTTACTGACATTTCAGAAACGTTTCTTCATAAATGAGTTGAACAAAATAAAAGAGCTGACTTATGGTACCTAGTGTAAATTATGGCATTTTTGAATTTTTTACAATTATTTTAAGATCCTTGCATGAGATTCTTCTTATTAGTACAGCTGATAAAAACACATCATCTTCAGAGTAAATTGCCTTCACATTGGTCCTTACTATCTATGAATATTGGACACATACGTAGGGTTGTTACATTGAGTTCAACATTGTGAAGTTTTTTTAATTGATGTCAAACAAAAAAGTAACTAGTTGCCCTAGCTGATGATTAATTTGTATAAACAGATTCTGCAGTCCATAGTATCCTCCAGGGATGCCATGAAAATAATAAAAATTATGAAGCATAAATTTGTACGCTTAACTGAAAAGAAAATAAAATATCAACGTAATACTCTTTGCTCGGTTTTATTCTCTGTGCTGTTTTACTAAACATATTTAATGGTAATGTTTTATAGTAAATATGTATTTGTAAAAAAACCCAGTTTGTTCATTAAATTGATAGACACTAGATTCAGAATCACAGCTTCTTGACTGAAAACATAAGTAATATTTACCATTGATGTTATTGTCCCCCC